AAAGTGACAACTGAATTGGTTCCTACTTCAATTTTGTTAAAAATCTCTAAATTGGCCAGAGTGGTGGCTCATACCTGTAATCCCAGCACTTTGGGAGGCCAAGGCGGGCAGATCATGAAGTCTCTACTATAAAAACAAAAATTAGCTGGGCGTAGTGGCATGCATCTGTTGTCTCAGCTACTCAGGAGGCTGAGGTAGGAGAACTGTTTGAACCAAGGAGTCAGAGATGGCAGTGAGCCAAGATCATACCACTGCGCTCCAGCCTGGCGACAGAGCAAGACTCTGTCACCAAAAAAAAAAAAAAATTCTAAATTGCAAAAAAAAATTGTCAGTTTTAGTCACAACTTCCTCAATGTTACCAATATTTGCACTTATTCCCACACTGCCCGAGGGATGGTTTTCACTCTCCAGGGCAACGCCCCTTGGTGGGACAAGAATGGCTGAGGGTCTGCCTTCCTTTCAGAGTGAAAGAACATCATGCAGGACCCCCTTAAGCCAGGTGTACTCTGCAGCAGCTTAATAATGGAAGCTGCCTTAAAACAATTCCCTTAAACTATCCTTGTCTGGGTACTCCATAAAGTCCTTCACAGCCCTGGGATCATGTCAACCCAGAGCATTGTGGTAAAGAGGAGGACTGCACTTAGCATCCTGGCCTAACGGCAAGACCTGGAGGAGGGGAGTAGAGGGAATGTTCTTGTATTAACAGCATCTCATCCAGATAGCACTGAGAAAAGGCGAACCAGTGAGAGGGAGGTAGGTCTTCCTCTGAGTAAACAAACCAACCTGGCGAGGGTTCAAAGTAATGTGCTCAGAAGGCATAATCCTAACTCTGAAATAAAGTGAAAGGTTCTACACCATCAGTTAAGATCCAAGAATAGGACAGCCTGGCACCAAACAGCTGACTGGCCCAGTGGGGGATACCTCACCCAAATGGGCCAATAACATTCTCTCTCCTGGAATTTAGAGCAGGTTGACAGTAGCTGGATGATTTCCTTCCAAATGCAAGGAGAAGCAGAGAAAGCTGGTCTGCAGAAACAGAATTAAACAGCTGCATAATCAAGAGAGTGACAGAAAGGACAGCTGCCTTGGACCCAAAGGCAGTCCTTGTGAGGCCCAGCTTTGCTTATGTTCTGAAAAATCCCCCTTTCTGTATCAACTGGTTTTAATAAATTTGTGGAACTTGTAAACAGAAGAGGTCTGGCTCAGACAGGAGTCACTAGAGACTATTCCTGAGGAAGTCAGCCTAACAGACCAATACATTTAGCATTATCAACAAGTACTCTGGGCCAGGCAAGTGGCTCACATCTCTGATCCCAACACTTTGGGAGGCTAGGGCAGGAGGACTGCTTGAGGCCAGGAGTTCAAGACCAGCCTGGGCAACATAGCAAGACCTCGTATCTAACAACAACAACAACAAAAAAGTCTGTTGCAGCAGCACCAATAGTACCACTACTCAGGAGGCTGAGGTGAATCACTTGAGCCCAGGAGGTCAAGACTACAGTGAGCCAATATGGAGCCACTGCACTCCAGTCTGGGCGACAGAATGAGACCCTATCTCAAAAAAAAATAAAATGAAATTACCTTTTTATAATAATATCATTTTTTTTAAAAACTGGGTTTTCTAAAAAGGTATTTTATTTCCTTTTTTAATGAGCTATCCACTCAGGTACTTTGCCAATTTATCTCCAGAGTATTTTTTTTAAATTCTTTAGAGACTGGCTCTTACTCTGTCGCCCAGGCTGAAATGCAGTGGCGCAATCTCAGCCACTGCAGCTTTGATCTCCTGGGCTCAAGCAATTCTCCTGCCTCAATCCTTTTGGTATTTTTATAGGGACAGGGTTTCACCATGTTGCCCAGGCTGGTCTTGAACTCCTGAGCTGAAGTGTTCTGCCCGCCTCAGCCTCCCAATGTGCTGGAATTATAGGTGTGAGCCATGGCGCCGGGCCTACTAAGGCAATTTAAACCACAAAGAAATGTTACTACTTAGAGGACTGGCAAAGATAAAAAAGTCTGGTAATTTTTTCTTCCTTTAGCCAAAACGTGTTTATAGAGATGTTTTCCCACTCACCTTGATTCAGAGTGCTTTTAGTTCTGCTTCCTCCTGAAGGAATACCCTTCTGTAAGCCTTGCTTTTCCTCCTGTAGGCTGGCAGAGGACACTGGAGCAGCCAACACGCAAAACTACCGTTAGTGCCTGGCTAAAGACCATGGTGATTTTATAGCATCCTGGGCACTTCACATCCATGATGCAGGGATTGGGGCTCTGCACCAGGCGTTTCTTCTTGTGTTTCCTCTTCTCCTCTTCTGAAGATAGATGAATGAGATCCTTTGCGAGAGGCATGTTCTTGTGGGTAGGTCGTCACCGCCAGAAAGGGGTAATATTTTATGTAGACAAAGATGAAAAGAACTAGGCACTTTCAAAACTGCTAGATAGGAATGTAAACCAGCATCATTTTTTTTAGTAAGGAATAGCACTATTGAAATTGGAAATGCACATCCCCTTTACCTGCTAAATCTCACAGCTAGAAATGATCCTATAGTCAACATTATGTTAAATAACATCTAAAGACTATGCATGAAAGTCGTATTTATAAAAGCAAAAAATTTTAAACTGAATACCCTTCAAATAGAGACTAACTACGGTACATTCATAAAATAAAATCCAGTGTAGAAAAATGAGACAGAACAAGTTCAAGTGAGAATTGGAAGGTATCTACCTACCATTTAGGCAAAAATAAAACAGGCAAAGAAAATCCACCTATGTATATATTCACAGAATATATCTGAAAATAAACAGAGAAAACTGAGGTAGGGAAAACACAAGTTCAACATGGAAGCCGTCTTGTCTGTCACAAAGTAGGGAAGTGCTAAAGACTGATAGGAGTTGCTCACAGAACACAGAAGCCACATTTGAGCACTGAAATGAGTAATGGCAAAGATGGTTATTACACATCAAATGAGGAAATTACAAATTTCCTTAAAGGCTCATCTTCACAGAAATGCCAAGAATGTAGAAGGAATGACAACAGAAAATCACTTTACAACTACGTTAGTAGTAATTCAGTCAGGATTGACCAATGAACACAGAGTGCAAACCTACTAAGGACAGGATATTCCTAGTCTCAAATACCACCCCTCAGGCTACTTGCTAATTGCAAAGGGGAAAGGGTATCAACTTGACAAGGGAGAAATCTGGCAGACACAACTTCAAATCACCAGTAATGGGACAAACTGGTAACAAGTGCCACCTGACATCATCAGGACACTGTATCACCTATAAAGAATTCCTGACAAAAATGTTTAACCTGAAACCACCAATGAGACAATCAGACAAATCCAAGTTGAGGAATATCCTACAAAACAACCTGCCTGGACTCTTCAAATAGGTCACTATCAGAAAGGGCACAGGGGACTAACTATTCTGGATAAAAAGAGTCACAACAACTAAATGCAACGTATGATCCTTGGCTGTATCCTGGACCCAAAACAAAACCAAAAATGAACTACATCTGCTGGTGAAAATGTTAAATGGTACAAGTGAGTTGGAAACAGTCCAGCAGTTCCTCAAAATGTTAAATACAAGAGTTACCATTTGACCCAGCAACTCCACTCCTAGGCATACACCCAAGAGAAACGAAAACATATGTCCACGCAAAAACTTGTTCACTATTGCTCATAGCAGCATTATTCATAACAGTCCCAAAGTGGAAAGAACCCAAATGTCAATCCATAGAAGAGTAGATAAAACAAAATGTGGTATATCCATTCAACTAAATACTATTCAGCCATAAAAAAGAGTAAAGTATCAATCCATGCCACAACATGGATGAGCCTTGAAAACATTACACTGAGAGAAGCCAGTCACACACCTCACACATCATGGTTCTATTGATATGAAATATCCAGGAAAGACAAATTGAAACTGAAAGTAGATGAGTGCTTGCTTTGGCCTTGGAGGTGAGAGTTGGGGTGGTGGGAGGAAAGGCAAGTGATTGCTAATGGGCACAGGGTTTCTTATTAGGGTGATGTGTTCTAAAATTGATGCTAGTTATGTCTGTACAACTCCAAATACAGTAAAAACCAATGAATTGTACATTTTAGGTGAACTGTACAGTATGTAAATTATATCACAATAAAGATGTTATTTTAAAAAACACAACTATAAAGAACTCATTATTGGAACACCTGGGGAAATTTGAAAATAAACTATATATTAGATGGTAGTATTGTTAATTTCATTGAGTCTGACAACTGGATTATGGTTATAAAGGAACACATGTCCTTACTCAGGAGGTACTTGCTAAAGTATTTATGGCTGATTTATCATAATTCCAAAACAATCTTAAATGATTCAACAAAAACCAAGTGTGTGTGCATATATACATTGTGTGTGCCTGTGTGGGAGAACAAGAAAAAGCAAAGGTGCCAAATACTGGTAACTACTAATCCAAGTGAAGGACACACGGGTGTATGTTGTGCTGTGCTTAGTCTTTCTGTAATCTGAAATTTTTCAAAATAAAAACTTGGGGGAAATACCAGAGAATAATAAAATTTAGACTTGGCACAGAAAGATATATATATATTCTTGCAAGGCTACTACTGAGTATTTTCAATCACTGTATTTTATCCTGAGCAAGAGGTCACTGTTCTGTGCTATGTTAAGATACAGATCATCCCTTTATATATAATAAAACTCCACCATTTTTTCAAAATTAATATAGGGTAAGAAGTAAAGCCTACTAATCATGACAGCAAAGGAAATGTGTGTCTAAATGAACTGAGTTACAGGCACATTTCACTAAGTGGCAGGCAGGTTTTTATAAGGAACCATATGGTAATCATCAATATGCCATTAGACTCCTATTACTAGACTTTTAGGAACCATTTTGTAAAGATTATCTGATGCCTAATTAACAAGAAAGAAATTAGACTCAGGTTTAAGATGCTGCTGGTGTTGTGAAACTACTCTGAAAGGTCATTTAAAGAACTTCAAACTTAAAATTTTTCATTCATGTATTTATTCCACAGTCAAAATAAGTCATAATTTAAAGCTATAACATTTTTAAAAGATAAAGGAGAATTTGTGGCAAAGCTGTATTAATAAAACAGACACCAGTCTAAAGTGCAACCTAAGCAGGTGTTCTCTGTTCCCATGGTGGAATAAATATACACAATTACACGTAAGATTTCACTGAAAATAGGAGATGAGGCAAATAACCCTTTGAAATGAACTGCCCAATGAACAGAGGCACGTTACAAATAATTTCTTTTAACATCTTACTGCAAAATGGAAAAAGTCCCCGAGGTGACTACTAACTTGAACCCCTCATTTTATGCACATGGCCTTGGCTTCTGTATTCTTTCCACAGCCACATCCAAATCCAGAAAGGCTTCTGCACCCCATGCTCAAAAACGCAACCTCAAGTCCCTGAGGCACAGACTGACATTAATGAGTCTGTGTGCAACTTTCATCCAGAACCTCCAGGGAAATCAGGAGCACAAACACAGAGCACAGCACCATTTCTTTAAACAATGGCTTTAACTGTGGAATGAGCTCTGACAAGCCATATGTATTCAATAAACAAACCAAAATATCGTCTTCATATCTTCCTATTTTTCTTGCATTTTTAAAAATGTTAAGCCATCCAAGTTAAAAAAAAAAAAAAAAGGAAAAAGGAAATTCAAAGGGTTTATGCCAAAAAAACAAACCAGTCCTCTGCAGCCTAACTCATTTTTTGGGCTGCGCAGCCATGTAGAGGGCAATCAGGCAGTAGATGGTCCCTCCCACAGTCAGCGCCATGGTGGTCCGGTAAAGCATTTGGTCAGGCAGGCCTCGTTTCAGGTAGATGGGCACACCGTCAGCTTTCTTGAAAGAAAGAATTAACAAGGGCATGGTTGAGAAGAAAAGCATTTTACAATTTTATTCTTAAAAAACAAATTTGTTTTCCCTGTAACTAATTCATCAACACGTGACAGTGGGAAAATCCCTAACACACAGAATGCTAACTGAAACACTAGTAGATGTTCCTATAAATGTAGCTAAAGCTTGTAAATCCAAAGTCATTCCCCAGAATGCTGCCACAGGGAAATGCATGCAAAAAATTCCAAATGTCTGACATTTATTGCTTAACTGGAGGACTGGTGAATTTTTTAAAAGGCAAAGGTAATCAGTAGCTAACAAAGAAGTGCAGGAGAGGCTGGGCACAGTGGCTCACACCTATAATCCCAGCACTTTGGGAGGCAGAGGCAGGCAGATGGCTTGAGCCCAGGAGTTTAATGTCAGCCTGGGCAACATGCTGAAACTGTCTCTACAAAATAACTAAAATTAGCCGGCTACGGTAGTACATGCCTGTAGTCCCAGCTATTAGGGAAGCTGAGATGGGAGGATCGCTTGAGCCCAAGAGTTCAAGGCTTCAGTGAGCTGTGAGTGTGCCAATGGACTCCAGCCTGGGTGACAGAGTAAGACTCTGTCTTAAAAAAGAAAAAAAGAGGTGCAGACACAAGAAATGGTCTCCATTCTGTCTTTAAAATGAAAAAAAGAGGTGCAGGCACAAAAAACTTTCTCCATTTAGTTTGGCTTCTGATCATGAGTGGATAAGGTCAGAGTATATCAAGTCAATTAATAAGATATAAGTCCATTTTGTATTTGACCTGTTTTCTTTCCATCACACAGTTAAACCCATTTAATAACCAAATTCCATGAGATATTTAAATCATCATCATCATCATTTTAGAGACTGGGTCTCACTCTGTTATCCAGGCTGCAATGCAGTGGCTCAATCATAGCTCACTACAGCCTCAAAATCCTGGAAGTGATCCTCCCACCTCAGCCTCTGGAGTAGCTGGGAATACAGACACATAACACACTTAGCTAATTTTTTTGTAGAGACAGGGTCTCGTTATGCTGCCCAGGCTGATCAAGCAATCCTCCTACCTTGGCCTCCCAAAGTGCTGGGACTGCAGAAGTGAGCCACCGTACCTGGCCTGTTTAACTCAAATTTTGCAGTATCCAAAATCCCTCTCCACTGCACCCTGAGATCCCAAATGCTCTCTCAAACCTTACTTATCAGATAAAAGGAAATTAAACTGATCAAAACAAAAGTGCTCTATCCTCAAGATGGGTCTGAATCTGGACATACTTTTGAGTCAGGTCACTAACTTCTCAAGAATTTGCAGGTAGATTAATAGTATTTTAAATTCCGATTCTGGCTTCTCTGTTGATCTGCAAACCCATAAGCTCCTCCTCTACTTTCAGCAACAGCTTAGTGAATGTTAATATCAAGCAAGCAAAAACAATTAGGAAAAAACTCACTGCCAAGTCACTGCATGTGTCACAAAGCCAAATATGTAAATGTTGAGCTATTCAGTTATACAGGCTATTGCTTCTTCTATGCGATAAATGATCAAGTGCTATTCATGCCATTTCAAAACCCTCATACCCTTAAATACTAATGAGGAAAGTAACCACCCTCCCCTCTTTTATCAGTATCTATCTATATAAAATATTTATCTATATAAAGTTCTATTCAGTTATGGCTCAAACTAAAATCAAGAGAATACTACTTAAAGAAAAAGGAGGAGGTTGGGTAGTAAACTAGATTAAGATTTAGTTTCATAAGGGATTTTTTAAGCGTATTTATTTCACAGGCTTCTCTGTTATCTAGAATATCTTCCCTCACCTGGAAAAACTTCTGCAACTCTGGAACTCTGTTTTTCCCAGCATAATCATACACTGTGGAATCGGAGGTCAGTTTAGTTGGTGTGGCAAATATGATAGGTGGTGCTTCTGTGGGAACCACAGGCTTTAATCCCTGTAGGGAAAAAAAGGAAAATGGCAAGTTGAAAGCATGTCTGAGCAGGTTCTGTGAAATAGTGAAGGCAGCCATTCAACCACGAGACAGGAAGTCAGTCTCTCTCCAACTTTCCCAGAGCAAATCCACTAAAGAACCCCCTATCATTATGATTACAGGGGGCAGGTGGGGATCGGGGGGACGACAACAAAGGTCCAGTCTGGGCTTCCAGAAATACCTAGTATGTCTGTCTTCTTAGCAAACCAGTAAAACATTTATAATCTGTTATGAACCTTTCATTAGCTTTCATGGGGGATCTGTCTGCCCCTAGAGCAGGCTTCAGAAACTTTTCCAGACACACAATAAAGAAAAATTCAATGTAGAACAGCCTTAGTGGTTTAAAACAAACAAAACTTGCCTTCCAGGACCAGAAACAAAATCAGAACAAAAAAAATTTTTGAAGTTAACTTTTCAGCATAAAGAAACCATAAATAGAGAACACATATAGTAAAAATTTAAACGAGGTGGAGCAGGAGGGAGTACTGACACATGCTACAACATGGATAAGCCTTTAAAACATTATGCCGAGTCAAAGAAACCAGCCACAAAGACCACATATTGTATGACTCCATTCATAGGAAAGTCTAGAAGGGGGAACCATAGAGACAGAAGATACAGAGCATAGATTGATGTTGCTTCTGGTAAGGCCTGGAGGCTAGGGAGGTAATAGTTAAAAGGTACACAGGTTTCTTTTTGAGGTGATTAAAATGCTCTAAAATTAACTGTGGTGGGAGTTGCATATATCTGTGAATATACTAAAAAACCCTGAATTGTACCCTTTAAATGCGCAAATTGCATGCTATGCAAATTATATCTCAATACAGTTGCTTAAAAACAAGGTGGCGGGGAGCTCTGGTTTTTCATCTGAAAGGAGTAAACCTACAGTGACATATATACAGAGTGATCCAAAATAACCTGCAAATTAAAATAAGAAGCTAAGAGTTATAAACCAATAAAAATCATCCTTTTATATTACAGTTTAACTAAGAAAAATTAAAATTTAAAGTCAGAAAGCAGAATTCAATACCAGCCTTTTCCTTTTACAGACAAAGAAGGAAACCTCTTGCCCAAATATAGTCATCAGTCCGCTGATTCTTGTCTCCAAGAAATCTAAATTTACCTGTAATTGACAGGGCCTATTATAAAGATTAGATATTGAAAACCTCAATGCTACTCCCACAAGGCAAGCATTAGATGATCATGTCAATACAAAAAGCATTAAAGTAAACTTGGCTTCTATTTCTTCTGACACAGTACAGTAAATGGCAATGAACCATGGCCTGTTTTCTGTCATGTATTCATTCATTCAACATTACTGATCACTTACTTTATACTAGAAATACACAATGAATAAGATAGCCACAACCTCGGCCACCGTGAATATTAATGTTACGAATCAGCAGCAGCTAGTATCTATTTAACCCTTGTAAAGTGTATCATGTTAAACATTTCACATGCATTACCTCACTTAATTCTGACAGCAACCCTATGAAGATATTACTATTCCCATTTTGCAGAGGAAAACGCTGGAGAGAGAATAACTTGACTTATCAAATAGCAAAAAGCAAGTCAAGTTTTCAAACTCAAGCCTTTCTCAAGTCCAAAGCCCTGGCTTTTAAGTATTCCACAGTTAACACCCCACCCTCCCATCAACTACTGCTTGAAAACAACAACCCATTTAAAGAGAAAGTTTGGTGAGTAAGATGTTGGCCTATATTTAGAAATATAACACATTCAGAACAGAGACTCGGGCGTCAGCGAGGGAAAACAGAGGCTCTAGAGATAAAAAAGGCTAACAAGAATCGTGGTTTGAACTGGATGAATGTCAGATACTCCTTTATATCATTCTGTGAGCACACCACATTTTCTCCTCGAAATGATCATTTCTCCTTGAATGCAAAAATGTAAAAGCCCTTTCTACCAAGGATCTCCAAAAATGGTTTGAAAGTAAATTTACGTTTTGACAGGACTAATGTGAGAGTATTTTTTTAAGGGATTCTATTTGTTTTATCCAACCATTCAGTGATTCAAAACTACAGCAAAGTTTTTGAACAATATCATCTGAAAACAGGCAAATGAACCATCTTAATTTTAAATTAATTCCATACTTCCTTTATATTGCAAAAGTTTATAGAATTTAAGTTACCTATAATCTCATTATCTTATCCCATCAATTGTTATAAACTGTACATTTTCCTCCAATGTTTATTCAGGTTTAATAACGTTATACTCACAGTGTAAAATCTTACTTTTTCTTTTTTAAGACAGAGTCTCGCTCTGTTGCCCTGGCTAGAGTAGAGCGGAACAATCTCAGCTCACTGCAACCTCTGCCTCCCGGGTTCAAGCCACTCTCCTGTCTCAGCCTCCTGAGTAGCTGGGACAATGGGTGCGCGCCACCATGCCCAGCTAATTTTTTAATTTTTCATAGAGACGGGAATTTGCCATAATGGCCAGCGTGGTCTCGAACTCTTAACCTAAGGTGATCCACCCACCTTGGCCTTCCAAAGTGCTGGAATAACAGATGTGAGCCACCACACCTGGCCCATTATGCTTTGTTTTCCCCCTTGAGCCAGGCTCTTGCTTTGTCGCCCAAGCTGGAGTGCAGTAGGGTGATCCTGGCTCACTGCAGCCTCCACCTCCCAGGCTCAAACCCCCAAGTATCTCCACCTCCCACTTCAGCCCCCTGAGTAACTGGGACTATAGAAAAATGTCACCACACCTGGCTAAATTTTTAATTTTTCGTAGCAGGTCTGGCTACATGGCCTAGGCTTGTCTTGAACTCTTGGGCTCCAGCAATCCTCCCACCTCAGCCTTCAAAGTGCTGGGATTACAGATGTAAGCCACCAGGCCCAACCTCATCCTGTTTCATTTATAACAATAAGTTTTTCAGGCTTCCACAGTCTTTGTAACTATCAAATTTACTCTTCTTTTTTTTGAGGCAGGGTCTCACTCTGCTAAATTTAATCTTCGGAACAACCCTGTAAACGAGGTATTATCAGTCCATGTTACAGGTGATTAAAACAATGCTCAGAGAGCCCTTAAGAAAGATGGGATTCAAACTTACGTTTTTATTTTCAGAGCTCTACAAAATTGGCACTTGATAGCAAAAGCTCCACAATTCCCAAAACTCTGCAGTTTTGGTCCCACAGGAAAAGGTAATCAACATTCCTAACATTTTTTTTGAGACAGAGTTTCGCTCTTGTTACCCAGGCTGGAGTGCAATGGCGTGATCTCGGCTCACCACAACCTCCGCCTCCTGGGTTCAGGCAATTCTCCTGCCTCAGCCTCCTGAGTAGCTGGGATTACAGGCACGCGCCACCATGCCCAGCTAATTTTTTGTATTTTTAGTAGAGACGGGGTTTCACCATGTTGACCAGGATGGTCTCGATCTCTTGACCTCGTGATCCACCCGCCTCGGCCTCCCAAAGTGCTGGGATTACAGGCTTGAGCCACCGTGCCCGGCCAACATTCCTAACAAAAAGGCAGCTGGATCACTAACAGTCGGCTTCTCAAGTGTGGAAATGATCAGGAAGCTTTATCTACAGGAGAGGATGCCACATAAATCTCTTCACCTCTGCCTACTCCAAGACTGCAAGGACTGTGAGCCTCAAACATGTCCCTCCTCATCACAACAGTGCCATCCTTTCAGGCCAAAACCTTGAAAATATTCTTTTTTTTTTCTTTTGAGACTGAGTCTCACTCTATTACCCAGGTTGGAGTGCAGTGGCGCAATCTCAGCTCACTGAAACCTCCACCTGCCAGGTTCAAGCTATTCTCCTGCCTCAGCCTCCCAAGTCACTAATTAGAGGGAAGTGCTAATTTTTGTATTTTTAGTTGAGATGGGGTTTCACCATGTTGGCCAGGCCGGTCTTGAACTCCTGACCTCCGGTTATCCACCCACCTTGGCCTCCCAAAGTGCTGGGATTACAGGCGTGAACCACCACACCCAGCCAAAACCTTGAAAATATTCTTGACACCTCTCCCTCATACTCTGCAAATCCTTTTGGCTCTACCTTCAAAATATATTCAGAATCTGACTACTTCTCACCTACCTCCACCAATTCACACTCAAGTCTAAGCCCCTGGATTTCTACAACAGCCTCCTAACTGATCTCTTGGCTTCCACTCATTTGTTGCTGTGAAATCTACTCTTAATACAGCAACTGATGATCTCATTAAAACACAGGATGTCACTAGACAGCTCAAAACCTCTGAAAGGAGTGTAAATTAGTTCAACCATTGTGGAAGACAGTGTGGCGATTCCTCAAGGCCTTAGAAATAGAAATTCCATTTGACCCAGCAATCCCATTACTGGGTATATATCCAAAAGACTATAAATCGTTCTACTATAAGGACACATGTACACGAATGTTCATTGCAGCACTGTTTACAATAGCAAAGACCTGGAATCAACCCAAATGCCCATTGATAATAGACTGGATTGGAAAAATGTGGCACATATACACCATGGAATATTATGCAGCAATCAGAAATGATGAGTTTGTGTCGTTTGTAGGGACATGGATGAATCTGGAAAACATCATCCTCAGCAAACTGACACAAGAACAGAAAATGAAACACCGCATATCCTCACTCACAGGCGGGTGATGAAAAATGAGAACACATGGACACAGAAAGGGGAGTACTAAACACTGGGGTCTATTGGGGGGAAAAGGGGAGGGCCAGTGGGAGGGGGAGGTGGGGAGGGATAGCCTGGGGAGAAATGCCAAATGTGGGTGAAGGGGAGAAGAAAAGCAAAGCACACTGCCATGTGTGTACCTACGCAACTGTCTTGCATGCTCTGCTCATGTACCCCAAAACCTAAAATCCAATAAAAAATTAAAAAAAAAAAAAAAAAAAAACCTCTGAAAGGCCTATCTCATTGAGTGAGACCCAAAGATCTTATAATGACTTTCAGAGCTCTACAAAATGCATCCCCTTCTTAGCCCCTCTTATTTTTTCATTTTATTTTTTGAGACAGGGTCTTGCTCTGTCACCCAGGCTGGAGTTCAGTGATACAATCACAGTTCACTGTAGCCTCAACTTCCCAGGCTCAAGGAATCCTCCCACCTCAGCCTCCTGCGTAGCTGAGATGAAGAGGTGTGCACCACATCCAGTTAACTGTTTTAAAAAAATTTTCAGAGACAGGGTACCCCTATGTTGGCTGGTCTCAAACTCCTTAGCTCAAACAGATCCTCCACCCTGAGTCTCCCAAAGAACTGTGATTACAGGCATGAGCCACTGTGCCCCAGCCTAGCTCCACTTCTCATTCCCCTCCTCCTCCCCAGCCCACTGAACTAGCTCCTAAAACCTCCCAGAACAGCCACGTTCCCTCTGCGTAGAATGCTCTTCTTCAGGCATCCACATGGCTTATACCCTCACCTTCTTCAGATCTTTACCCATCTCCATAAGTCTCCTTCTCAGTGAGATCTTTCTGACCACACTTTCAAAAACTGCATGTCCTCCCCCTTACCCTACTAACAATCTACCCTCTTTATTTTTCTCCGCAGTACTTATCACCACCTAACATTTACTTTGTTTATTGTGTCTCCCTCTACTACAATGGAAGTTTCATGAGCACAGGATTTTGGCATGTCTTGTTCACTGCTCCTATATTCCAAGACTTAGAAAAGCAACTGGCAGAGAAAGCACATTCAGTAAATAAATGCAGAACGTTCACATAAACTAAAGAAGGCTACAGCTTTACCACAATGTAGGTCTGAATATCTCAGAAACAAAGTCTGATAATTGGCACTTGATAGCAGAAGCTCCACAATTCCCAAAGTACTAAGAAAACAACTGAAAGCTGTTCTTAACATAAGTGGAGAGGCGGGGCATGATGGCTCACACCTGTGGTCCTACCACTTTGGGAGGCTGAAGTGGGAGGATCACTTGACTCAGGAATTCGAGATCAGCCTGAGCAATAGAGTGAGACCTTGTTTCTACAAAATATCAAAAAATTAGCCAGGTGCAGTGGTGAACACCTATTGTCCCAGCTACTTAGGAAGCTGAGGTGGGAGGATGACTTGAGTCCAGGTGGTCGACAGGGCTGTAGTGAACTGTGATCATGCCACTGCACTCCAGCCTGAGCGACAGAGACCCTGTCTCAAAATAAAAAATAAGTGGATCATAGATCAAGAAAAATCACATACTTTACTTTTTAATACTGAATCTCTTAGCTGCTTAATAAGCCCCACCTCCAAGATTCATTAACAGCCATTCAACCTTAACCACGTTTAGTAGTTGAGTCTGACGATAACAAGTTTTGTTTCTCTACATCCTCATCAATACTTCTTATCATCTCTCTTTTTTATTCTAGGCATTCTGGTGGATATTAAATGGTATCTCATTGTGGTTGTGATTTGCTTTTCCCTAGTAACTAAAGATGTTAAACATGTTTGTGTGCTTACTGGCCTCCATTTTTGACGAAGTTCACAGAATTATAAATAAGATGCTTTTCATTCAACCACTGGAAAATACCATCCCAACAACTACTTGCTGTCAAGGTGACTCATAAATCTCTACCTGTGCTATTGTTACAGAACTACCTTTTCCATATTATGTTATTTAATGCATGTTATTCACTTTACTTAGTATTAAAAGTTACACACATCTTCCTTATGTTTCCAGGAAAGGAAAAAGATGAAGTACACTTAATTACCAAAGACAGAGCACCTAGTTGGGAGGGCACCTGTCACAATCACTCTGAAATTTACAATTCACATGAAGCCTACACAATATCTCTTCTTTTCAACACAGTTTAAGAAATCTTTAAGTAACTAAGAAGTTCAAATTCTCAAGAGAAACGCAATTCAAGAGAGGTACCAGAAATCTGAAAGCCCTATCTATATAAAACTCATCTCAAGGCAATCTCTGCTCTGAGTGCCAGTTTTATTCCAATATGCATTTTTGGTCGAAAAATTTACTTTTTTCTTACTAAGCAACAAAACCCAGATTATGCTAAAGATATATTAAAAGAACATAAACCAGGTGTGGTGGTACACATCTGTAATCCCAGCCACTCAGGAGGCTGAGGTGGGAGGACTGCTTGAGCCCAGGAGTTCGAGACCAGACTGTGCAACACAGCAAGAGCCCGTCTCAAAAAATATTTAAAAATAAATAAATAAAAGAACATCTACTAGCACCAACAAAATAAACTGTGATATATTTACAAAATGAAATCCCACAGAAGAATAAGAGGATAAAAGGAATTAACTACTGAGACGTACAACACGGATGCATCTCAAAAATATGTTCTTAATAGGCTAGCAGCCAGACACGGTGGCTCACATCTGTAATCCAATCATTTTCAGAAGCCAAAGCGGAACGATTTCTTGAGCCAAGGAGTGGAAGGCTACAGTGAACTCTGTGATTCTGCCATTGCACTCCAGCTTGGGCAAGAGCTGGTTCCATTTACATGAAGTTCAAAAAGGGGCAAAACTATTTATGATGATAAAAGTCAGAATAGGAAGGGGGCTGGGATTGCCAAGAGTGTACAAGGCAACTTCCTAGGATGATATAACATTCCGTATACTGAGGGAGGTGTGGTTATACAGTGGCATAGGTTTGTCGAAACTCATCAAACGGTAATATTTAAGATCCATACATTGAAGAATACACGTCACAAAAGCAGATGACAGAAGTGGCCATTTTCCCACATAATCTGTAAAAGAAATAAGTGTAACACTGCTGACCATTCCTTCAAGTCATTACCAATTTGGTTTCAGTGACACACACTAGTTTCCCTTCTCACTTGTATATTCTTCTAACACATTTTCCTTCTGCACCCTCCCTTCATGTTTCTATACTGTAACTATGATCCAGCCTTTCTTCCCTATAAACTTCCTGGGCAGTCTACCCAACGGATTCTACTACTGCCTATGAGATAAAAGCACCCAAGTTTGTTAAACTCCATCTGCTACCATGACGTATCACAAGCTCAACAGTTATAAATCCCTAACTCTTCCTTCCCGTCCTTCTTATCCTACATTAGAATAATTCTGTTTTTGTTTTTAGAAACGGGGTCTCATTATGTTGTCCCAGGCTGACAAAGGGACGACTGGGAGGCCGAAGGCCAGATGTCTTCAAAGAGAGGGAGAAGACCTAACCTCGGGTCACATTGGGGACTCCACCAATCCATTCCTTTTAGAAGAGGCAAAACCCCCGGGGGTCACCTTGACCTCTGCCGTGGGCCAGACCGAACTTCCACGCCAGGCCAACCCCGCCAGGTGAGCAGGTACACAAAGAGTAGCCTCAGTGACCACCGTACGCTGCTGTGGAGAGGCCCCGGGAGGTGCAAGGAGAAATGAGACAAACTCAACCATGGGCAGAAACCTCCTCCGGCTCCAACGCCGCGACTGACTGTCGCCGAGGCTTGCACCGCCATTTCTCCTGTCCGAGTTGGCACGGAGCCACTCGTACCTGTGGGCTATAGGCCTCCGAAGCCCATGCTCCCGCCAACTTCTGCGTGAAGCCACTAAATTTGTAGTACATGACGCCCGGACTCCGGTTTCCCGCATCGGCTGCCTGCGCGACCGCCCCAGAGAAGGACCCCACCTCCCCGGCTGCGGTCCCAAGACTCAGCGCAAAGACCCAGCGCCGGGACTAGGGCTGCCCAAAGATCGCCTAACTTAAAACCTGCCCACTTAACCAACATTGGGGAACCAAAAGCCAGGGTTCTCAAGACCACGAAAGGCAAAACCAGCTCTAAGAGAGCACGAAAAGGTGCTGTGGCAGAGTCCGTAGGAAATATGAAGTTCCTTCTTTTCCCCCAATTAGATTTGGGCAGTGCCACGACAACTCAAGAAATGCGCAAGCGCTTCGCGGACTAAACCCGGCAGCGACGGAGTCAGGTGGGGCAGGCTCTGGAAAGGGCTAGCTCTAGGAGGGGCCGGCTCTAAGAGGGGCGACTCTAGGCGGGGCCTGGGAGGGAGAGGGCGGGATTTGTGGGTGTGGCCTGGGTAAAGGCGGGGCTACGTCAAGGCCGGATGGGACCTCCACCGGCTGAGAGAGTCTGTGCTGCGGAGCCACCGCCTGGTCATTGGGGTGAAGGCGTCTCTTCCTTTACCAAACTTTACTTGATCGTAGTCTCACTTCCTTCCGACCCAGAGCACCTCTTGAAGTATCCTGCTTTCACTCAGTCTGCCCAGGAGTATAGACCTGTTGGCCACGCTTCCCCTGACCACCTGGTATTGAAGCAAATACAAAAATTTGGAAGCACCTGCTGAGGGCTGTTTAGTACTAAGGGCTGTTAGGGTTTTTGCCCCAGTAATATAAAAATAGCCTCCTGGGCTTTGTGCAGAGGAAATACACATGCAGAGTGACCTTTAGGTACCAGGATGTAAATGTCATACAGTTTCTCAGAACTGGTTTTTACTCTGACCTGAGTTTTAAGGTCATTGGTTATTCATCCTTTTCCTGGCCGCTGCTCTTTGCGATAAATGAGGTAGGGGGAGGGTGATCAGAAACACTTGTAAAATCTGGACCTTGAGCCTGAAAGATGTGGAACTACCACTTTCAGTTCTACTAGTATTCGCTTAGTTCAATTTAAAGATGTCTGTTAAGCCTGTGCTGTGTGCAAGGTACCCTGTAAAAGGAGTATACTAGTTTCTTACTCTCCAGAGATGGACCAAGGCTTTTCTTAGCTTCATCATCTAACCATAGGTTTACACAAACATATGCTAGATGCATTTATGAAAACATGTTGCAAATTGATGGATAACTAACCTTTATATAGCACTTTCCTAAACTCAATTAATCTTCACAACAATCCTATAGGTAATCTCCATTTTACAATACAGGAAAATGATGCCTGGAGAAGCTAAGTAACTTGCTCAGGTCAGGGATAAGTGGCAGAGCTGGGCATCTGGCTCAAGATTTCCTACTGTTAAGCACTATGTTACAGATAAATAGATATGAAGACATTCCAAAAAGAGGAGGATCAAGGCCGAGCACTCCAGGGCAAGGCTGTACACCAGCATCCTGGTTGCAGGCCTAAGTTCAAGAGCCCCAAGTATTCAGTACTGCCAGTATGATGCAAAGGTTTCAGCAGATTCATAGAAGCCAGCCCAAAGTTGCCACTTTACAAAGCAGCATTGTGATATAATGGAAAGAACATGTGATTTGGGTTTATGTCCCTATTTCTCCAAGGATAAATGGTTTGGGACTAGTGATTTCCTTTTATTTTTTTTTTAACTTTTGAAACATGGTCTCATTCTGTCACCCAGGCTGGAATACAGTCGTACGATCTTGGCTCACTGCATCCTTGACTTGCCAGGCTCCGGTGATTCTCCTACCTCAGTCTCTCAGGTAGCTGGAACCACAGATGCACATCACCAGGCCTGGCTAATTTTTTGTATTTTTAGTAGAGACAAGATTTCACCATGTTGCCCAGGCTGGTCTCAAACTCCTGGGATCAAGTGATTTGCCAAATTCAGACTCCCAAAGTGCTGAGACTACAGGCGGGAGCTACCATGTCAGGCCCACCCCATGTTTTTATACTGAATAGATTCAGGAAGATTTTTCTACAGACAAAAGTTTGATTACCTCAAAAGAAATGATTCATTGACATAAGCCTTCTTGAGTCCCAGGTGCTAGCAAATACTGAGTGAAATAAAAAGCCTTTTGTAGAGTTTAGATTGAAAAGAGAAACTAAATTATTTAGGACAGCTACTCTCTCCATCCCACTGACTTCTGGACATATTTTGGAAGAAGAAAGTAAAGAATATTCTTTAACTTTTAGCATCACTAAGGTGTACCCACTTCTTGTATAAGGTGCCTGTCAACACTGGTTATTTTCTTAAAGTTCCTGCCATCTGATTTTAGATCCTGCAAGACATAAATTAAGAATCCTGAAAATGTTACAACAGCCGGGCTGTTCAGTGGGAGATAAAATGTCAGTAGCAGAGTGTGGGTTGGGATGTCACATGGAATGGCTGATCATGGAAAGATTTTGTCTCATTTCCCAAGTAAAACACAGCACACTCTGACAGTACTAAGGCACCCTATTCTCATTCGTATTTGCATATCCCACCCAACATCAAAGACAATCTTTTTTTATCACGATCCCTTCAGGTTGTTCCCCAGATTCTATTCTGAAGGGAAGTGACCACGACTCAGAGTGCAGAGAAGCTTGCCAACCACCAAGTGAATTGAGTGAGTGCAGATACCAGTCCGGCTCCTGGTGAATCTGAATGCTGCTGCTTCTCCATTTGTGAGGGGTGTGTGCTAATGGCCTTTGGCAGGCTACTCTGTGAAAGTGTTTGGGGAATGGATCTGAAACCAATATAAAATTTAAATTGGGTAATACTGAGTAGAAATAGAAAGCACCTGTGAAATCGTTAATTTTTTCAAATTCTCTCATTTTTTTTTTCCAAACTGACTTTTTAAAAATTGGCACTTAGTGGGTCTGGCAGAGTTAAAACAGGTAAGCCTTTAGGAGTTGAGGTCATTGTGGGCTCCTGTTTTTGAAGGATTTTGTCTATTCTAGGGTAGTTTCCTGAGGGAAAATGAAACATACATAGTGCAGTGCTATAGTGAGTGTTACCTTTTCTATTGTCGTTTATGTCTACTCTCTCTTTTTACATTTTCCCAACATTTAAAACTGCTAGTAATAACCCCAAGAAAAGCATCCCCAGTAAAATACTGGAAAGCAAAATGGAGAGCTAAACTCATGACGACACCTGCCATGCAATTATTCGGCAATTTTCATGTGGCAGAAATCTCAGCTGTCATCTCTTACTGTTTTTGTCAAATAAAGCCCTATCTGGTGTGGAAATTTTAACTTCCAAACCTGAAACCTAGATCATATTGATATTGAAAACCAAACCTTTCTTAAAGCAGGGTGTTTTCGTAGCTAAAGAGCTGAGGGTCTGAATGGCTCATTTCTCACCCAAAGGAGGGGAAACGGCAGCTGGGATTGCAGTTGCTGGGACAGCTTTATTGCAGTATGGGATGAATATATTGACATCAACTCCCTACTCTGACCTTCTCGTTGTTGAATGTCAATACAGTGTGTGAAGCTGCCTCACTTTTGCCTGCCTGCTTTTCCTTATGTGCAAGTCAAAAGCACATCCACAGAGAATATGGATTTAACTCAATTTTGACACATCACATTTCATCTCACTGGTTAAGAAAGGCTGAGGTATGACTCACAATTTATTTTAAATCATTTTAAATACACTTAATTATGCATAGAAAAAAGTTGAGATCCAGAACAAGATTCATGCTATTTTACATTGACATCATCTATACAATTACAGTACACACAGGGTTGTCTTATACATAGAATGAAAGGATTCTCAGTGGCCTCCAGTTTTGAGGACGGGTGGTGGTTTCTCATCACTGAGGATTCCCACTCTCTACCTCACATACATCTGCAGTGTTGAAATATTTCACAGTGAGCATCCATGAGTTCTGTAAGCCCACATACACACACAGAAATAATACAAAGTCGGCTGGGCGCAGCAGTTCACAGCTATAATCCCAGCACTTTGGGGGGCCGAAGTGGGTGGATCACATGATATCAGGAGTTCAAGACCAGCCTGACAAACATGGTGAAACCCTCTCTACTACAAATACAAAAATTAGCCGGGCATGGTGGCATGTGTCTGTAATCCCAGCTACTGGGGAGGCTGAGGCAGGAGAACTGCTTGAACCCAGGAGGCAGAGATTGCAGTGAGCCCAGATTGTGCCACTGCACTCCAGCCTGGGCAACAAGAATGAAACTCCATCTCAAAAAAATAAGAAACAAGAAAAGAACACAAAGTCCCCCCAAAGCATACAAATTAGAATGTTTTAAATGCTTCCATGTACTCACACCCCCCAAACTATCAGGTAATTTAGAATGTTCTTTACACCCCCAGAGTAAATGTGAGGAGCCTCTTACGTGACAATGTCCAAGTGTAAGCCACAGACAGGGTGACTCAAGGGCCATTCTGCCCATCACAGTTAACCCTATAGTGGTTCTTCTTCCTAGTGCTTTTGAAGAAAAGAATGAATGCATGAACAAACGAATAAGAACAAACACATCACCTCCACACATTGCTGTGAGAAATGAGCAACCACTCTGGGTAGTTACTGACATCAGTGCCCAGACAGCTGTGGAAATTGGTGATCAAGTGGAAAAGAAGATGAAGAACCATATACCTGGGTCTTAAGGAGGCTAATGTTAATGGATCATTTTCTTTTGAGGTAGCAGATTTTTTGTCTATAGAAAAAGCTACCTGAGGCCAGGTGCAGTGGCTCATGCCTATAATCCCAGCAGTTTGGGAGGCAGAGACAGGCAGATCACCTAAGGTTAAGAGTTCGAGACCGGCCTGGCCAACATGGCGAAACCCTGTCTCTACTAAGAATACCAAAAAAAAAAAAAAAAAAGCCGGGCATAGCAGCGGGCGCCTGTAACCCCAGCTACTCGGAAGGCTGAGGCAAGAGAATTGCTTGAACCTGGAAGGTGGAGGTTGCAGTGAGCAAAGATGGCGCCACTGCACTCCAGCCTGGGTGATAAGAGTGAAACTCTACTTTGGGAGGCCAAAGCGGGTGGATCACGAGGTCAAGAGATCAAGACCATCCTGGTCAACATGGTGAAACCCCGTCTCTACTAAAAATACAAAACGTTAGCTGGGCATGGTGGTGTGTGCCTGTAATTCCAGCTACTAAGGAGGCTGAGGCAGGAGAATTGCCTGAACCCAGGAGGCGGAGGTTGCGGTGAGCCGAGATCGCACCATTGCACTCCAGCCTGGGTAATGAGAGCGAAACTCCATCTCAAAAAAAAAAAAAAAAAAGTCTGAAACTGACTCAAAGAAAAGAAAAAGCTACCTGAATCTATTCAGCATCAAAACATGGGGTGGGCCGGGTGTGGTGGTTCATACCTATAATCGCAGCACTTTGGGAGGCCAAGACCAGTGGATCACTTGAGTCCAGCAGTTTGATACCAGCCTGGGCACCATGGTGAAACCCCATCTCTAAGAAAAAAATCGAAAATGAGTCAGGCTTGGTCATACACCTGTAGTCCCAGCAACTTGGGAGGCTGAGGTGGGAGGATCACCTGCACCCAGGAAATTGAGGCTGCAGTGAGCCAAGATCATGCCATTGCACTACAACCTGGGTGACAGAATGAGACCCTGTCCCCCACCACCAAAATTAGGGTGTTCTACTAGCCACTAACGGTCAGGATGTCCAGATTTCACCCTGCACTAGAATTGTGACCTTTGGCTAGTTCCTTAACCTCTCTTGGCCACAAGTTAAAATGATCAGTTTAACAGGGTGATTGCAAGGATTAAATAAGATGTTACGTACTGAAAAAGCTTAAAGAAAATATGAAAATACCTGGAAGTCTATTTAGGAAATACATGTTGTAAAAGTAGTAAAACTGGATCTATAGTCACTGATATAGCCCAAAAATTAATTTAGCATGATATAAAGCATTAGAGTTTTGAGTCTAGTTTATGTTTATATGAAGTTAGCTGATTATAATAAAAATTGTAACCTACAAATCTT